TTTTCTCACAATTTCTTTTTTAACAAAATGAGATTTAAGACAGATTTTAAAAAAGGTGTCCTTTTGTTATTTCTCAGACCAAAAGGCTGCACATTATTTTGTGAAAATGAAAACGTCAAACAATATACTACCTTGAAAATTTAAAACAAATCCCAAATCAAATAAATAAATAATACAAAAAAAATTAATGTCTCCATGTTTTGCCTATGTATTTTAACCACGATCCAAACAAAGATGCTGCATACATGTTATTTAGATTTTAAAATTTTGAAATTTGAAACAAAAACAAAATGGTCTGACTTTAGCTTTGTGATACTACATAAAAAATCTGAACGAAACAAAAACAGCAGAGGGGCTGAATGAGACGCAAATGTCACTCTCTGACAGCAGGTGGCGCTTAAACAGCAGGTATTTATAGGCTGCTGCCCCTTTAAGATCGAATGCACGGATCCAATATAATGATGCATGTGCGATTTCTTTCTCCACTGTTTACGTTCAGTTAAGACATGAAAATACTCGCCGGGATAGTTATTTTGAGATAATTTTGGGTGTATGTGTCCGTTCAAGTGAAAGAGAAATCAATTCTGTGTTTGTGCTCTGCCTGAAACGCCGCTCTGTATGTGCGTGCTTTGAGCGTGTGCGCGCGAGCACCAAACTGAATTCTTCATGTGCATGAATGGTTTAAAACGATTGAATATTTAAATTGGTAAGACTTAGAAACAAGTGTAAATGATAAACTATGATCCGTTTTCACCCATACAAGCGAGTGAACAACGAGAATTAAGAAGGGATTTTATATGTCGGGCTAGCGATTTTGCGAGCCCTGTAGTAACAAAAAAGTTTCTAGTCACTAATGAAATAGGTACTAGTATCTCAGAAATAAGTACTAGTATCTAATAAGTACTAGTATCTCAGAAATAAGTACTAGTATCTAATAAGTACTAGTATCTCAGAAATAAGTACTAGTATCTAATAAGTACTAGTATCTCAGAAATAAGTACTAGTATCTAATAAGTACTAGTATCTCAGAAATAAGTACTAGTATCTAATAAGTACTAGTATCTCAGAAATAAGTACTAGTATCTAATAAGTACTAGTATCTCAGAAATAAGTACTAGTATCTAATAAGTACTAGAATCCTAGAAATAAGTACTAGTATCACATAAACAAGTACTAGCGTCTAATGAATAAGTACAAGTATCACATAATAAGTACTAGTATCTAATGAATAAGTACTAGCATGAAGTATGAGTATCACATAATAGGTACTAGTATCTAATAAGTACTAGTATCTATTTAATAAATAGGAGTATCTAATGAATAAGTCCTAGTATCCAATAAATAATAACTAGTATCTAATAATAGGTACTAGTATCTAAAAAAATAAGTACTAGTACCTAATGAACAACTACTAGTATATAAAAAAGTACTAGTAATCTTATAAGTCACAATCTTATGTTATGGCCACTGTAGAGTAAAAATAGTAAAATTTGTAATAATTACTAGTATCTAATAAATGTGTACTAGTATGTAATAAATAGCTTGTATCTAATAAAAAAAAGTACTAGTATGTATTTAATAGGTACTAGTACCATGAAAATAAATATTAGTACATTGTAAGGATTAAATGTTAAACCGGCTTGCCATAATAAGAATATTCATATTCATGACTGTTTGTTGGGCATTGGGTAGGTCAGTCACAATAGGGACACGTGAGGCCTTCTGGGAAGTTCCAGTTCATTGATTTTGTTCGTTCAATAACGAAGGTGTGACCAAGTAATCGAAAGTGTATATATTTGTTTGGAAAATTTGAAATTGAGAATGTATTTATTTGATCATTTCACTTGATTTGTTTTATATATAATAATCGTATTGTTTTTAAGAACACATTCATTCAGGTTTTCTGGGAGCAAGTACAGTCAAGCATCAAATCCCTTTCTCTTCCTGAGGTTTTTGTTGTTGTGAAGTTTGAGTGACCCCCTTAGTGGGGAAATATTAAGGTCAAAGTACAAAACTTCCCATGCAGGATTCATATAGAAAATGTGTGCTTGAATGATGCTTGAACTCCTGAGCCATAGTTCAACCCATTGGAATTTCAAATAATTTTTCATTTCCTTTTTTCCTTTTTTACAGAGCACAGTATGTTATCTTGTCTGACAACTGAAATGAATGAGATGTCAATGGCTCACTGTTTGTTAATGATTGTTGCAATTACAGCACCACAGTAAAGTTTTACATTTCGACATGTTGCTTTTTTTCATTTTTGAAACATTCGCATGCACAATAAGGAACACGTTTAGATCGGTTTTACAAAGAGTTTTACCATTTTTGCCACTATTTGAAAGCCATAAACTCCCTAATAGTTGTAATGTGTATTATATGTAGCCAGTGTTTTGTTATTAATGTGAAACAACTAAATACACTCAGAAAGTCAGCTGGAGGTTATCCTAACTTTAAGTAGTTATGATTTTAAAGAAGATTCTTTTAAAGAATTCTTAAGTATTCACTCAAAACACCTCAGCAACATGCTAACCCTCAAAAGACATTAGCAACGTGCTAGCAGTAGCTAATCACTTAAGGTGCATCCAGAATCGTTTACCATCTTAATCGTCTGAGTACATTCTACATTTGATAAGAAATAAAGTTAACGTGGGTTAAAAAGTCTTTTCCATATAGAATGAATGAAATCCAGATGTACTACATTTGTCTTATTGCTATTGTCATGGGACTTTGGGTTTTGTCCCTTCACTGCCATTCACAACTCCTCTCCCGTGGCCTCATGGGATAATAAAGTGTACAATCGATGCGCATTTCAGAATCTCGCCGGAAATGGTAGGTTATCTGTGTTTTTCACCTACTGTTTTATGAATACTGTGAATTTGGACAGTACTTGTGGTACCTGTCTCATATTTTTTCTTGCATTCTGTATAGTAGGGAGGTAGACCTATTCGGAAGCAACATTAGACGAGTATCTAATGAATAAGTACTAGTATTACAAATAAGTACTAGTATTCTAATAAGTACTAGTATCTCAGAAATAAGTACTAGTATCTCAGAAATAAGTACTAGCATCTAATGAATACTAGTTTCTAATGAGTAAGTACTAGTTTCACATTCATAAGTACTAGTATCTAAAAATAAGTACTAGTATCTAAAGAATAAGTACTAATTTATTAGAAAAAAGTACTAGTATCTCATAAATAAGTACCAGTATCTAATAAATAAGAACTAGTATGTAATGAATAAGTAGTCTCTTCTAAAAAACATGACGAATAAGCACTAGTAGCTAATGAATAAGAACTAGTACTTAATGGAACAGATACTAGTAGCTAAAAACAAGTTCTAGTAAATGAACATAGATACTCGTATGTTTTATAGATGAAATGTTAAAACGGCTTGCTAGTGTGTGTTTATGGGTCAGGCTGTAATTTTCTCTCACACCAGCCTGATCCTCATGAAAGCGTCTGGCACTGGAAGCCACAGATCCGCACTGACCTGAGTTGGGCACGATCAGATGGCCCCCGAGGGCGTTGAAGGAGCCGAAGGCCGTGCACGAGGGGTCCCAGGAGCGCACCAGCGTCTGCGTGCGGCGGCTGATGGTGTCGCTGTCGATCAGCGCATGCGGCAGTTTGGGCGAGAGTTTGGAGGAGATGTCAGACAGGTCCTCCTGCGGCGTCACCAGACCGGACGAGTTGTACACCTTGATCTTCAGGTTGGGCAGCGGGTCCAGCAGGGGAGAGTTGGTCATGGGGATCTTATCAGCGACGTCGTGCAGAGCGTAAACGGGACCTCTGTACATGGCAGCAGCCGAGGTCAGGTCAGGAGGAGCCGTCAGCAGATCCGCTACACACAGAAATACACATCAAATACAGATCTCATACATCTTGATCTGAGCTTTTACGCCTTAACCAGCTGCTACAAGAGACATGTGACACAGTAGCTATGCTTCCATCCAAAGATTCGAATCAAACTGGAATATTGCATAAAACATTTGCGAATAAAGCACTGTTTCCATCCAACGAGTAAAAGAGAACAAAATCACTTCCTGGTAAACTGGCACTAAATATCACTAAGAGAAGTAGGAGAAGCCACTGAATATAATACTTTTCATATATGTGACCCTGGACCACAAAACCAGTCATAAGGGTCAATTTTTTCAAATTGAGATTTATACATCATAAATAAATAAGCTTTCTATTGATGTATGGTTTGTTAGGATCGGACAATATTTGGCTGAGATACAACTATTTGAAAATCTGGAATCTGAGGGTGCAAAAAAATCTAAATATTGATTCCAAAATGCACATAAAAATAGGTGGATGGAAACATAGCTAGTTCTAAAAAAATAAAGAATACAAAAGATAAAAAAAAAAAAAACGGTAACACTTTATTTTGATAGTCCACTTCTACTTTGATAGACGTTCTACTAACAGTAAGTAACTTTGCAACTACATGTCAACTAGCAGTCGTTAGAGTATTAGTAGACTGTCTGCTTAATATCTTCTAACACTTTATTTTGATGGGTCCACAAACTTTGTCAACTTATTCTACTAACCCTAAACCTAACCTAACAGTCTACTCTGAGAGTTAGTAGACATGTAGTTGCAAATGAATGAGAATTTTGGTTCATTGAAATAGAGCTAAAATAAAATAAAATCTAAATGTTAGAAATGTTAGATTAAAATTAGAAATGCTAAGCGAAATATTAATGTTTAGGCACAAACTGGAAATTAAACTCATTAAACTCAA